TCCAACAAGTTCGTGCGCCTTGACCATGGCGGTAAAATCAAGATCCCAATCCGCATCTATGAGCAAATAGCCCGTCTTCTGCAGCCGCTGCGGCGTCACAGCTGGTACAATCTTAGTCTTTATTGTCTCGTCGTCCTCACGAATCCACACCAAGGGCTGCAGACTGTCACTCCACGATGACCTGCTCTTCCGCACCACGACTTCGGGAATTTGAAAGCCGATCTTATAGCGCCAGTGGGCAGGTCCGAAAAGAAACCGAACTGGCCATGGTAGGAAGATGGTAAGTAGGAGGTAATCAAATATAAATGTTAAAGTCCTGCGGACGACGATGCTAGCTAGTTCGCCCCAGCTAGCGGTTGATGTGTTCACTCTTGCAGGGCTGTTTTGCCCTACCAGCAGGGTGAGGATGTCGACGTAGGCGGTGTAGCCCGTATATATTCTGAGGAGGATGATGGATAGAATGGCTATGTCTAGTAATAGAGGCATGAGGAAGATTTGGCGCTTGTGCGCCTTTGGATGCGCGTCGAGGTGAATGAGGTAGACATGTTTTGCCGATAGGGGTTCCAGGAATGGTTGCAGTAATCGAGGCGCGGGGATGAAGGGAGGTGGCGGGAGGGGTTGGGATTGGGATTTTGGGGATGAGGACTTTGCAGTGATTGCTGCCGCTTGCTTTTTACTTGAAGTGGATTTTGCGGATTTTGCCATGTTTCGTTCCCTTTATCTGGGTTTGGAATTGAAGTTTGAATTTTAGAAGCTCTGTAGGTATAATTTTAAGGAATCACTATGCATTCCGCGGAAGGGTTGTAATTAGATTCAAGTTTAAGAGCCACTCTGTGTAATACTTGAATTTTGTAGGACTCCTATTCAATTGTGAGTAGATAAATCAATAAATCGGAATCCTATTAGGTATCTTTGGTCACTCACCTCGAGCATAGGAGTGAGATATTTAGATGACCATAGACCAGTAGCTATTACATAAACACAACGAAAAATATTTTACACCAAGAACCCAATTGAACGAACTACAAAGGCCCAAATCGGGGTTCCAGAGCAGGAGAATTGAAATAACTACCTAGGTAGCTGTTTTATGTTTCCCCCTTTCTGGTGGGTCATGGAAAAGACTTCAACGGTAAGTTGTATCCAGGAAATTTACCGTGAATAAGAAGATCCGAGCTAGTCCGTTTTGGGCATAAGGGTTGTTCTGCAGACGCGGTCCGGGAATCGAACAAACACACCCAACCTCCCACCCCGGACTTGAGAGACCGAACAAAGCAAAGCGTCAAGTGTTATAGACATCTGGCGCTATGCAGGCGATGTCTGTGATGGAATTCTGGGACTAATCCAACTCAAGATATGTCTACCGGTGACCACACTGCCAATCCACACGGCTCGCAGTACCGCGACAACAATGACGATGAACTTCGATTTCGGCGACCGCAACGAAATGGCCTCCCGAAAGACAGCCTCTATCAGTCGCAGATTCCTACGTTAAGTCCTGGGAATGATGGACAATCTCGCGTCGCGTTTAGCAATACCAGGACGCTGAAAGGCGCATTCCAAGCTGCAGCAGCTGGCCCACCACGACCAGCAAGCCCCGGGAGGGAACAGAAAACCCCTCCAGGACGAGCGATGGCGCGGGAAAGGAAGTTCTCTGAGCCATCACCCATGTCAGAAGTATCAAATCCCCCGTACGGACAGAGCGAAACCTATCAGCACATCAACGACGCGGATGACTTGGTTGGTTCTGTTGCTCAGGATGACTATAACATTCCCTACGTTCAACCCAGACGCGAGCGGACGCGAAGTGCCTCCCCGAGCCCTGGCGCCCGTCGATATGAAGAGGAATATGCTGGTGCTGGGGACCCCTATGACTCCAGCCTTAGTTTTAGCGATATTTCAGATGAGTCGTTACGACAAAAACTCGCCCAGCATGCCATGGATGAGGGCAGGTTGAATCGCGTTACACACAGTCAATCTCCGGTTTTTAGCAAAGCAAATGTTGGCCCAAAGGCTGCTCTGTCTCTTGAAAATATACAACGTCGAAATGAAGAGGAACTATTTCGCTACGATGTTGAGCCTTCATTTAATGTTCCAAAAACTTGGGGGTTACGTGGGCGAGTGTCGAAGGATTGGCTGAGCAAAGTCAGTCGACGAAATGGGAATGACAATCATGTTCAAGAGGAGTTAGTACAGCCGGTCGACCAAGGGTTAGAAAACGACATCGATTTTACAGCCCGATCGTTACAAGTTTCAAACAGCCCACCCGTACGAAATAATGCTCCCGCAAGGAGTGAAATTGAAGATCTTGGGAAGAAACGCCCGGCGACAAATAGCCTAGGAGAAATCAAAAGAAAGGAGTCACAGGAACATATCCGACCGCCAATAGAAGGCGATCCTATACCTAATACGCCTATCGTTATATATCGTAATGCGGAGAGAGAGAAGAAGCCAAGACATCTAAGCAAAAACGACCCCCAGGAACTTTTACGGACACTTTCGAGAAGAGAAAGTCCAAGTGTGGCCAGTACGCCAGAGCAGAACCAAGTGGACAACACATTGCTTAACGTTAAAACGCCGGTGGTTACTGGCGCATGGATAGATACACCGGTTCCTGATCGTGCTGCTGAACCTGTTGCAGCATCCCAGCAGGACTCTACCGTGGATATCAATTCGCCGAGTATGAAAGCTCGAAATCAAACCCAAAATGAAGTTCATAATCCAACTCAAAACCAACGTCAAAATCCATCCAAAATCCGACACCAAGTGGACATAGAAAAGACCCCACAAGATTCAAAAGAACGGCAGGAACTACAAAAAGAACCAAGACCAGAGCCAAAGCCAAGGCGGGCTCCATTAAAACTACTAGAGAAACCCAAATTACCGCGAAGTGCATTGGAAGCAGTAATTGAGGACGCAAAATCCGGAGATCATAGTTTAGTGCTTGGAGAGAATACCATTGACTCCTTACAGGAACTTCTGGACGAGAACTCACTTCTGGATTCCAAAGCTTTTATCAAGTCTGAAAATGACGAGGAAGAAGATAAGATCAAAATCGAAACCCTCGGTCAAGCAGACGATTCCGTTATTGAACGGCTAGATACGAAACTTAAGTCTCTTGTTCGGAGTATCAACGCTACCCAGTCAGGGCTCGCAAGCCTCGAGCGCCAGATCGCGAAGGACTCCAACATCTTAGCATTGCGAAACACCAAACAAACCAACAAAATGGTTCACCACAGCCACACGAACTCTCCCTGCGATGTGTGTGGGGTCCACAGCGGTGGTCGGAATCACGTCGCAATTTCATTACCGCGACTTTGGTATCGTCAACCAGATACCCATCGGCTCCGCCTCACCCGCCTGAGCTGGTTTGTCATTGTAATTTTCACTTGGTGCATTTCAGAACTTGTCATGTGTGACTATTATTGCCATCCAATGTACGCCTCGACATGCGAGCGGAATTGCCTAGACCCCAACGCGCCGCGGATGCCGCTGGTAATACCCACGATGCTCTGGCGTTGGTCGGGCCTCTCGGTCATTTTGAAGCCTGTGGGGACAGTATTGGTTGCCGGATTCCGAGATATAGCCCAGCTATTCGGTATTTGGGACGGATTTTTCGACGGCCCGCCTGATGGAGAGTGGCCTGTGTGGGATTATTACCAGGAGACTCCCGCCTATCAGCCCAGTTTTGAGCAGTTTGAACCCAGCGTGGATATGGGCATGATGCAGGATGAATATGTATAGCCATCTCTGTTTTACATATTTGTTTGGAAATATGATCCTTCTGCGGATGGTGGTGCTGTTATTATATTCCCCTGCCCTTGGCTGTTTATGTTGTTGTCATGTTTATTTTCACTTTCTTCGTCCACATGATTTGTTTTTGTGCAGCGTTATCCGGACCCAGGGAGTTTTCGGGCGTCGGTACTTTATGGTGTCATGCATGGAAACGATTGAATTTTGTGGCCCGTACTATATTAGTCTTTGTTTTTAATTCCTTTAATTTTGCAACGGGCGTGGTGGATTTTCATGAAGGATTGAGAGTAGCTCAAAATCCCACGGTACTCGGAGGATGAATACATACGTTCCAATGTAAACTTGTTTCATTTATATACACACCCCTGCAGCCAGAGCGGCCCAGAGAAGGATTCGGAGGCCGACTGCTTGGTAGAACGTGGTTATCTGACTGGATGAATGTTGGGTTGGAGTTTAAGGGGGTCCGCCCAAGTGCAAGGAAATCCCGTCCTTCCCGCCAGAGCCAATCCAGCCATTTTCCACGTTTTGAGAACAGACTGCGGGGATATCAACCAAACCTCAAGCATATGCATATGTTGCCTTGTTCTTCGCAGGGAGCGCTAGTCGATTGCAATCCCTTCCTCGAATTGCTGTGATATTATTACTCTCTGGTGAGCTTTGCTAAACTGTTCTTACACTTGATCAAGAGCGGTTAGCAATGCTTGGCTTGGTCGGAACTCCGAGTATAACTACTAGTTAGTTATGCTGCCAATGCTTGCAAAGTATTCACCAAGGCGTACGCCCATGGTGGGCTAGGTATGCTGACACCAGATGAATTCACCACCCAGAGAGTCCGAAGGGAATTCAGTCTATCTCACAGATCTGATACCATCGAGAACACAGCCCAGCTCTACCGATAAGGGGACTCTCATGCTGAGTTCCCATGTGGACTTTTGTGTCAACCTAGCAAGGGCTACAAGGCCAACTTAGGACATCTGCCCTTATTTTTCATTTAGCCGCCCAGGAGGGCGGTTGGAAACACGAACTGCAAGCCAGCACCCAATCCACAGCCAATTTGCTGGGACACCCATGATAACAATAGGAAGATCCTTCATGAATTTGGCCTAGAGCGGCCGTTTCCCCATTTTAAGGGAGCCCGGGTAGCACGATTCTCGACTTTTTTCTGCAGAAATAATCTCCGTCATTTTAACCGTCCAAAATCCCTTTAGATCCCTCTTCTCCTCAAACGGCATTCTTGCCTTTCAATTAAAATGAGCGGGAACACTTCGAAGATAACATGCTATGATACCACTGGCTCAGCGTTCTGGAATAATACAAAATGTCCGGATTCCGATTCCTGTTGTCAAACTGTTGGACAATGCCGACCAGACCGACTGTGCACTTCTAACAACGACCCGAATACTCTCGTCCGTGCAACGTGCAAATATTTCCCATGGTCAAACAACTGTGCCAAAGTTTGCATAAACGGTACGTTGACTCGGACGATGAGATTGGAGCACGAGAAACAACCCTTGGAATCACGTCCAGTGTCCAGAGGGTATCAATTGCTAACATCACATCAATTAAATAAGATAATGATATCGGTACTTTCCTCCCCCGAGTCAATATTTGTGCGGATGGCAGCTACTGCTGTGTCAAAGACTCTACCTGCTGCATCGACAAGCGTGGGCTTTTCCTAAATCATGACGGAAGCATCAAATCTCGCGCAAATCAAACCATCGACAGCACGACTTTGATGACGTCCCCGTTTGCGACTAGCGCGATGTCATCGACTTATAGCAAAGCGCCACAAAGCACACCTCCCGGTGCGGCACCTCCATCTTCCGGACTTTCGCAAGAAGCCAAAATTGGTATAGGTTTCGGCATATCCTTCGGTTTAGTCCTTCTCCTTGTTTTCGTATTGTTTGTCTGGCGCACTCAGAAAAACAAACGATTCCAGCCCAATCCAAGTGCCTTCCCAACCTACGGGGCAACGAAAAAAAGGTTCGAAATTCCAGTAGAATTGCCTACGCCTGATCGACCCCGTCCTCAGGAGCTGGGATGATACTACTGTGCTGCGAGAATATAGGGGACGATATCTCTTTTTGCCCCCATTTCTTTGAAGAGGGCCTCAGGGAAGTCATACGATTGTGAGACGGTAAGTGAGCAAGAAGCTCTCAAATCTATGCGTGGAACCGTATGACGAAGTGGCCATTTAGGCCCATATCTCTTTTCTCTGCCCTTTTCTAGAATTTTATTATTTCAGCTTTTTTTATATTTCACGCTACTATTTGGCATGGATGTATGTGCTGTACGTTACATATATGATAGATGAGCTGGTCTCATTCTCGGAAGTCAAGGTAACAATGAAAATATTGTCCTCGACCTGGTCGTTTTCTTTTCGAAGCTAAATTTAAACATATATGAACTTTACTTATTCATGAATCCTCTTTCATATCCATAAGAAACGCAGATACGAATTCTTAATAAACCACTGGCTCAAAGCAGGGATGAAAAGGAAGATCATATTAACAGGATTCTGTGGGGGGAACATTATGCTGAGTTACGGAACTTTCGGAAGCTAATATTGGAAAAGGAGGTAATAAATGTTTATGACAACGGATATTTAAAATCATCACACTTGACCTGTTATATAGATTCATGTCGTCATACAAATCCTCAACAAACGAACAACAAAGAAGAAAAATAAAAAACATGCAAATCCATCCATGCATCGTGTTTTATAGCTTTGCCTTTTTCTGCATTTCTTCCCACGCCTTCACAAGCACATCCTCCCCTTTAATCCTCCAATCCATTCCCTTCAGCATTTTCTGCTGTACTTCCTCATCAGTCAGCGTCCCAATCTCGCTTAATTTCTTCGTTACGATTGTCTGTCCACGATGATCGATATAGAAGGCATCTTCTGTCCTTTTTACCCGGCCATGCACGGCATCGAGGCAAAAGCCGCTCCAGCCCTGAAAGCTACGTTTCCCTCCTGGAGTATCGCCAAAGATCATGGCAAAACAGTGTGGCATTCCCTCAAATCGCTCGAGGATGACAGTGCCGCCAGCCTCGTGCACCTTCTTTGCAAGGTAGATGCTGTCATCTTCTATCATCTCTTCACCAACCGTGATGAATATTGGAGGGCTACCTTTCCATATATCTTTCGACCCACTTAAGGGGGATACCATTGGGTGGGTTAGCATGTTGGCATTGGCGTAGAATTCAGCGCGTGGTGGGGACGCCGGCCAGACGGAGTCTGGAGGAAATGGGAATGGTTTGAAATCTGCCTCTTGGCCAAAACGTGGTACGAGGTAGTCGAGGTAGACATTACTGGTGGTTGACGGTAAGGAGAGCGTAACGTCACAAAATGGACTGCATGCGGCTACTCCCGCAGGGAGCTCGAGAGGCACGTCCTTCCCATGAAACTGGATTGTCGGATTGGGAGACAGACGGCGTAGGGTTAAGATAGCTTGTAGGAGAGCGAGGCTAAGCCCTCCGCCGGCTGAATCACCAGCAAACACGATCTTGTCTGCTGGAACCGGGGAGTGCAAGGATCCTTCTGGGGGGGATAAGAGGTATAAATAGGCCAACAGCGCATCAAGGATGGCGGATGGGAAAGGATCCTGAGGGGCTAGTCTATAGCGGACAGAAAGACAGCGTCCTCCCGTCTCCTTGGCCAACCTTGATGTTGTGCCACGATGAGTGCATGGGTCCATTAAGCTGGGGTAAGGTTGTTAGGAATATGTTGTCATTCCGCGGCAATAATAATTGAACATGACCCAACGTACTAGTATGCACCACCGTGTAGATATAGGATAGTAAGGTCCTCTTTAACCTCTCCCATCAATTGTTCATACTTCTCTGCTTCAGAAATATTCGGCTGCGGAGCCCTGGCGTTGACTCCGCTTCGGTAGCCCGTCCATTCCGCTTCAACATCAACCAGTTCCGGGACATGGTAGGCCTCATGACCTTCCTTATAATGATCCACGGCCCTCATCATCGACTGAATGATGGAGTGTTCAGCAGATCTGGGCATCGTCACCTTCGATATCCACATCGGACCTTTAATCCCTGGATCACTCAGGGTTCCCCGTTGGGTTTTGCCCACGGGGTGGGAAAACGTGATAAACGATCGGATCAAATTGACCACAAGCTCGACCCGCAGGTCCTGCTTTCCAGCAGCAGGAGATCGCGATGAAAGATTCAAAACCATTATTCTAAGCAGAACAGGGGCGCTAGCCAGGAGCGCCTTGACAGTCGCGAGGTTGAGTTTCACGTCCATGTTGCTCAAATGAGGTAGGTGATGGGCAAGTAAAAATCGACTGTATGGCGCCTAGGTGGCGATGTATGAAGATACAGTATTCCCTTCGGATGTACATCTGCCACGAAAGGGCAAAGAATGAACGAAGGGAATAACTATGGGTGAACGTTGAAGAGAGAACACGAGTCGCCGTGGGGACGTCCACTGGCAAAGGACCCTCCAGGAGGAACATTCAAGTACCAAACCCAAGAGCGAGACAGCTAGAAACCGAGGGAAACAGGCCCTGGTCAGTCATTTTCACTATTAACTGGGTTCACTAGTTAAGTTAATTACTAGTTAATAGCATTCAACAGCTCCTTGGTCCAAGTTGGCCAGATCCAGGCGCAGTCATGGACTGTTATGCGCTCCGGGGTTGATCCTCGGCTACCCGCTTTTCAAATGGTCTGAGCGACCAAGAATCATCTTCATCCGCGATGTTGTTGAATACTCACTCCTATGTGGAATAAGCGACAGGCCACAGAAGAGCGTTGGGTGAGTAGTCTTATTACACGCAATCTTCGTGGAGATGCTTTAGACAACCAGAGCGATGTCCAGGAACGATATTTTGAGGTTGGAGATTTTGATGGACGGCAATTACGTTTATTAACTAATAGTTAAATGTTTAAAACTGCTGAACTATTAACTAAATAGTTACGAGCAACCTTCACCCATACAACTTGTCCCATATGAACATGAACTCTCCCGATGCAACCTTACTTTACGAGAAACAGAGTACCCGTCCCATGAAAATTATCAATTATACAGTATAAGGGATACCCAAATCCTTAGCGATGATGCTCGCAGCTTTCTCTCCAACAGCTAGGGCTGTTGAGTACGTGTTTGCCGCCACGTTACCAGGGCAAATGGACAGATCTAAATCGCTATCAGCATGAGGTTACAATGGAAGAGTTCACGAACGAGTTAACAGTTAGTTATCAGGAATCAGCTTACCAATGACTTTGAGCCTCTCAACGCCATAGACATTCAAGTCCTTGTCTACCACTCCTCCCTGCTCTCGCGGTTTCATTGCACAGGTACCCAGACTGTGCCAAGTGGTATTGAGCTTCTCACAGATGAATTTCTCGATCGCCTCGATATCAGCCTCAGAATATTCAATCGGCACGGGGTATCCCTTGGCCTTGGAGGCCGCATCTACTACGTCGGGATCTGCCTTTGATCCGGGCGGGAAGGTTGGGTGGGTAAACCTGTCCGGGCCGTTGTAATATGGGATTCTACGTGCCATCTCCCGCTGCTTCTTATAGGCCCATACCTGCTTCATCAGGTCCGCCGGGTGATTGAAATATCCAGAGTCAAACTCTGGAATGTCAGTGACGGATTTGCCCGTGATATGAATCGACCCTCTCGAGTACGGGTAGGCGGTGTATGCGGCCATGGTGAAATACTGTCCTTGGGGCGGTGGGTCTCTTTGCGCCAAGCTCAGCGCAGCTGTGCCGAATATCATCAACGGTCGAGTCTCCCTGTCACGGAAATCATTGTTCCACGCTTCCAGCAACGCAGGGGGGAATTCTTTGACTTCTTCTTCTGTGGGTCGAAGCTTTCCTGTGCAGTCAAGGCCATTCCATCCCAGCATGTGGCGGCCCGGACTAGATAGCTTTTGCGCCATTGCTGCTTCAAAAGGAAGTCGGCCCCTGAGCAGCCCGTCCAACGTTTCCTCTGGTGTTGCTTTGGAGTAGTAAGCGTAGAAGACGCCATGGTGATCCTGGTAGTTGGTTCCCACCCCTTTCACATCGGAGACTACTGGAATATTGAGGGCTTCGAGTTTCGATTTGTTGCCAATTCCGGACCTCTGCAAAATCTGGGGAGAACCCAGCGCATTGGCTGCGATCACTACAAGCTGTTTAGCACGGACTACTGTGGGTTTAGTGGAAGGATCTGAGCGCGTAGGAACGTATTCCACTCCCGTGGCTCGCTTATTTTCATCAAACAGGACTCTGACCACTGTTGAGTCTGTTATGACCTTGAGTTGCGTGTTCCCTGCATCAAGGATTGGAAAGATAAAATTGTGAGGTACATCTTGCCTGAAGCCGGTTTGCCCATCGATCCACATATTCCAGCGCTATGAGATTTATCAGAAGTTTGCAAATATCGCAAGTGGAGCATGTGGGATTTAACTTACGGCAACTGCATTTGCCGTCTTAAGATCCTGCAGATCCGCGACCTTCTTAATACCTATTTGCTCGCATGCATTGAAGAATGCCTTCTGGAACGGCGCCTGCACAAATGTTCCCCCTGCTGAAACACTGAGCGGCCCGTTATATCCGTGGAGGGATTTATCTACTTCGAGGTCGTTGTCTTGGAATCGCTCAGTCTGGAACGGCACAGTGCATCAGCCCTCAATGTCAGAACCAAACATATAAGCAGAGATACTGTTGGCAGGATCAAATTGTACCTTTTTAAGGAACGGTAACATATCCTTCCCAGTCCAACCTTGTGTGTTCCAGTCGTCATAATCCACCGCCGAGGCCCTGGTATAGACCATGAAATTTATCGAGCTGCCCCCACCAAGAATGTTGCCAATTGGGACGACCACCTCTCGTCCTCCCAGGTATTCATTCGGCTTTGACTTGTAGAACTTCGCTGTGGTCGATGTCGGCTGGACATGGGAAGGATATAATGCTGGATTGACAACAGCAGGGTTATCTCGTGAATTGGCACCCGCTTCGATCACAAGTATCGAAAGGTCCGGCTTAGCCTCAGCCAGGCGACCAGCAGCAATCAGACCCGCTGCTCCTCCTAAACAAGACAATTATTGAGAGGAGTACCAAGGGGCTTTAGAAACCTAGGAGAGGAACTTACCGCCTGCAACAATGACATCCACATCACCGTTTGACATGGTGAGCTTTCTTCAATGGTGTGGTTACAATTTTGGGAATTTATCAAAAATTTGAGACTAAATCTCTGTTGATATGATACTGAGTGGGTTTGGCCGAAGTATCTGAAAATCCCCAAAGCCCTCAGCTTGCGGGGAAAGTGGTCTACTTAAGCAAATATGATAACAAGTGTTTCTGCACTCATCTACGGTATATTGTAGGGGGTAACTATCGGCGAACACCCCCGCCTCTCTCTCGTCTTGTTCACCGGGTCATCATAGGCTCTTCTCATTCGCAATGATGAGCACTACCCGGAATATCCTTTTTTTTATTTGGACCTTCTACCCCTCCAATTTGGAAGTGGTGACACCCGCTTCCAGCTGCCGGTACTCTGCACCACGCTCTAGAGCGAGCTGAGGCAAATCCTTCGTGTACACTCTTCCGAAACTAAATATCCGAATAATCCGAGGGAGCCATACTGACGTCCCTCTTAATTATTGGGGAAATCGTGAAAGAGCGATTTATCTCCAAAATTATGGGCACCAAACTTATCAATGGGGCCGTTGGCGGGCTAATAATAGCGGGGGGATTAGCGGCAATTGGGCGGGGTACGGCGTGTAAAATATGCACATCAAGTCTGGCCATCAAGGGCTTGGGATAAGTAACTCTGTGCCACTGAGTACATCTACCCAATAGGCTGTTGTGCACGCGAGCAGGATCTAGCTGTACCGCTTGTCAACAATTTGATATTGGAAGTCCTTCTCTCTCGGCGTCTTTGCAGCTGGCGAACAACCAAGGAAGTTAATTAACCAAAAGTGAAGGACTCGCCAAGACGAACTATCTACCATGGAGATCCAGTGAGAAAGAACAAAAGGGCTGATACGTTGAAGCAGATGAGTTGGAGAAGTCTCTACAGAGATCTTCGAATGTCTTCCAATATTTGCCCAGGAATATAAGAATATAATTGGATCAGATATGAGAAGTGCGTCATCCTTTATTTTGGCTCGTAATCATTGCAGTTGAAATGAATGAATTCACTCGACTTCTCTGCTACAAAAATGAAGGCTATCCCCAGGTCAACAAATCTTCTCCCTTATTGATTGTTCCTTAATATATAGGTGTGGTACAGTGCTTTCTATTCTCGCACTGAGGATTTGTCTGTTTGCGTTAGCTATTATGAAATTCATAAGGATCCAAGGTTCTCAGCCATGGGAACTTAGTGCCATCCTCCAGACTGAGAACTGGCCTAAGGTTAAAACTCAGACACTGACATAAACAACCAACACGCTCCACATACGCGTATACATATTTCTATTCTTCACCGCCCCCAGAATGTCAATGCTGCCAAATATATCGGACAGTTCCTCATGGAGATCTTCAGGCCATTCTGGAATTTGCAGATTCCTTTCGATCACAGAGTCCGTGGAGAAGTCTTGTCTGTCACGCGTAAGCGGGTGGACAGTGAGTGTTTGAAGAGTTCCGTGTTCATCGTAGAGTCATAGTTCGGGCCATTTCATGGGCGGGCTCGGTTTGTGCTGGTATGTTGCAGTCGGGGTTTTCTGATGTATTGTATCTTCGTATGCCCTCACAGAGCTTTTCAGAGCAATGGAAAAGCATCTTTTATCAAGTCGTGCTTCTTTTGCAGGAGCAGAACCCTATATTTCTAGAACAACAAACGCCATTGAGATGTCATGTAGCAGGAAAAAGTCCCATTGAAGGTGAACTCTCGGACACTATCTGATCGTAGCAAATGGGAAACAAAAGGAAACGTTTACCAAAAGAGAGATATTAGTTCAAAATAAATCAATTCCATTGAATGGGTAAAATTTCAGGATGGGGTATGATCTAGGGAAGACATGCAACCTTGTTCCAAACGCCTGAAAATGCATAACATCAAAAATAAAACCCAAAATATATGAGAATGAGTGTATATGTATGTACAAGGGACTGCAAATTATATGCACAAGGCCCCTTTAGCTGTCGGCCACTTTGATTTCCACGGCTGCTTGCGATAGCGGTGGTGATGGCAATGGCAATGGCAATGGCTTGTCGATAACTTCAAGTGCACTAGACGACTTATGAGGGCTGAAAACCTTTTGATATGTCTCCTGCTCTTCTTCTTTCAATCCATAACCAGATGGATCCCGCCTGATGAGGAAACTCTGAAGTCGAGCATCCAACGAATTCATTTGGGCAATAGTCTGCTGTCTCCTTCCGTGCAGAAACTTGACGCATTTCTCATCGACTTCTCTCACTCGTTCTTCGACGGAGCCCGGAAAACTCCCAATCGATACCGCCCGACCCAGACCACCAAAAAGCATCAACAAAACGAGGAAGGAGGCAAATGTGCCATGTGAAACTGTTGAGGCCTGGCTCTGGTTTTGATCATTTCTTCGATACCACCGTTCCCAGTCTTCCCAAGTGGCATTTCGATATATGGAGTCATCAATATCTGTGCTCCTTCCATATCGCACGTCCAAATTCTTAGCCATATTTTCAGCGAAGAGTTCGGAACGCTGGTGCCAGCCAAAGCCGTACCGATCATAAGCCTCTCGCTTGACCGGGTCGGACAGAATCTCATGTGCAGCAACAATGAGTCTGTAGCGGTGCAGCCTCATGGATTCCGGTAAGTTCTTGCATAGTGGATGATCGTTGCTATTCCGGTCTGGGTGGTAGACTTTGACAAGATCGTAATATCGTCTTTTGGAATAAGGTTCGGCTTTGGACAGTTTGAATATATCGTAGGGGGTAAATGTCGGGCTTGACGGCCATGACATATCATGCTCGAGTCCAAATGGATGGGAGTCGTGGGCATGAGCAAACCCTCTGCTGCACTGCCGTAGGGGAGGCTGCTTTCGTTGAGGCGGAGATATGGAAGTTGGCTGCAAGGCGGAGGCGACTGGCCACTGTCCGAAAAGATGTAAACTGCCGCCGCAGCACAGGAGAGATGGCTTTTTGAACATGGTTGACTGGCTAGTTAGCTGGCTCCCATTGAAGCGGCTGGCGAAGATAGTTACCGGTCAGTGAAGTCTACTCGAACTAGAAGGTGGGAATATATAAACCATCCATCCTATGCCGCAATGATGGTTTGCGTGGTTAAGTTGTTGGTTTGTTCCCCCCACCCCAATCCATGGCTCAACGGGCCGAGTGAATTTCCGTCGCCGGTCAACGGAGTCCAACATGAAACCTCCATCAAATCTATCCAAACGTCGTCACAAGTCTGTGTTCTTTGCTTCCCGATGTTTCTCGACTCCCAGCTATAACCGCCATTGCGCGTCTCGATTGGAAATGCCCAGATACGAAGAAAACGTGCGGGATCGCCGACGGCGTTTAGGCACTTCACATTCACCTGTTCACGCGCATTCCAGAAGGGCTAAAGATGATGATGATGATGATGATGATGATGATGATGATAGTTACTGCAGAAGATTCAAAGATGATCGATCGGATATGAAATACAGTAGATGGCACGCTCGAAGCCCGACCAGATCGCCCCGGAGAGAGCATAGATCCTACCGTCGAAGGAGCAGGTCCAGAGACCATGACGACACGCCAAGACGAAGAGACGATTCGAGGAGCAGCGCACACCGGAGACGACCGAAGAATAGGAGTGAGTATGATGACGGGAATAGGCTTTCTAAGAGTCAACGTAGCGTGTCAAGTTCAAGGGCACGATCCCCTCCCCGCCAAAGATCGCGGAGCCTATCTCCCAGATTTTCCAAACGATCGAAGAATCCGCTCCCATCTCAAAAAGAAGCCTTCTCCAGAACCCCCATTGACGCGACATCAATTACTTCCACAACATTTCCAGAAAAGGAAAAACCGAACTTTGCCAACACCGGTCTTTTAGCTGCGGAGACCAACACAGTTAAATCAACTGATGGCTTGACCTCCGTTGTCCTTAAATACCACGAACCTCCTGAAGCTCGAAAGCCACCTGCAAGGGATCCGTGGCGCCTCTACGTATTTAAAGGGGAGGACCTTCTTGAAACTATACCCCTGGGAGGAAGAAGTTGTTGGTTAATTGGGAGGGAAAGATTGGTTGTCGACCTACCCGTCGACCATCCAAGCTGCTCCAAACAACACGCTGCACTCCAGTTCCGCTATGTTGAGAAGCGGAATGAGTATGGCGATAGGGATGGACGGGTACGACCTTACCTGATTGACTTGGAAAGCGCTAATGGTTCTACTGTAAATGGTGAACTCTCCCCCAAGGGCCGCTATATGGAACTTATGGATAAAGATGTTTTGAAATTTGGATTTAGCACGAGAGAATATGTTCTCATGCTCCCTCCATCCGGTCGATGATCAATGTATGCAGCATATATTTAAGTCAATTTAAGTCATTTAAATGCTGCGGTTCCTAAACAGGGAACGAACATAGAATATATGTACAGTCTGGATCCATCATCACATCAATGAAACGCAACATACGATGATAAAACACAATGGTGCTACAAACGCTATCCACATATGCAACGGATTGCACACAGTTGTTTCTCCAGAGGTGGGACCAGCCAAATCGTCCTCAAGCCACTACAACTTCTCTTTTTTATAGAGAAGTCAATCGTCACTGGCCACTATCAGCAAAAGGCATAATTATGCTTTACCTGTCCACTCTTCCGCTTCCTCTTTCGCCTTCTCTTTGAGATAGGCTGCCTTGTCTTCTGCCTCGTCTTTGAGGGAGCCAGCCTTGTCTTCCACGTCTCTTGCAACCTTCTTCGCCTCACCCTCAACCTTTTTTGATTTGACACCGATTGCATCCTTGATTTTGTGGCTTGCCATTTCTGTTCTCGAATGATTCTTGTCAGCATCATGCTCGTGCGTGTATGAGGAAATGAAGCTTCTTATATAAATAGCCCTCATGGCATCAAACCAGGGGGAAAGCGCCGAGGGAAAACAGTTGGGAAGAGTGGGAAATAGAGAAATTTCAGCCAGAAGGGCTACGTACGACCTTTCTCAATTCCCTTCAGAGCAGCATCTGAAACCAATCGGTCTGCCTTCCTCAATGTTTCCTTGGTGGCCTCGATGGGGCCTTTATCCTGCCGCCTGGCTGAGGTGGAGAAGACTGCAGCGCTGGTGGTTCGAAAGGAGATAGCGATGGCTCTTGTGACGGGAGCGGTGCGGATAATGAGAGCTGACATGCTGATGAGGAGGTGATTTCTTGATGTGGGGATTCGTATGTTCAAGGGGCGGTTCAGTTCTGTGTTTAAGAGGGATTCTTTAGCAAACTCCCTTTCTGACGTTTCATGAGAACGCTGCTGACGGATGGGACAGATATGTATATTCACCTTTTTCCGATTATATATTAGATAAATTGGAGATTGTCACTGACTTGACTTGACTTGACTTTCTTGGTATTCCCTTTAAAAACCCCTTGCTCTTTAAAGGTCAAGGCAAGATTATCAAAGTGTGTATGATTTCGTAAATACTTGGAGGTCTGGGCAGAATTTTGATCTGATGGAGATGATGGGTACAATAACTAACTTCCTTTCGATGCTTTGATAGAACAATAATTACAGGATGGAGTTATCATGGGTAAGAAGTCCCGCAACCTATATATGTTGCCCTTCCACAGGCTTTTGAGCACTGCTTGTTCTCCTTGACAAACTTCGATGTGACGTCATCTTACCATTCTTGCCTACCAAAACTTAATGAATCAACCAGGATATGGAAAAGCTGTCCAGTGATATCATCTAGTCAACGGAGATCGATGAAGTCAATCGGCAGGTTGAAGGGATATGGGAAATATTCAATTCTTAATCACTTCTATACTACACATCTATAATCTAAGCTGAATTAAGCAATAAATTTCCGAAAAAATGAAATTTAACAAAATAAGAAAACTCGAAATGAAAGAGAAAGAAGCACTTTCTTAACACCTATAACTACATGAGATGGTACTGAAGGAATAAAGAAAGGTAAAATAAAAAATAAAAACGCGGGCAATGCGATGCTGGTCCATACCCTCTCATTCCCCGTTTCCATTATTACTCGGCCCTCAATCCTGGACAAACGCCCAACGAAGTGTCTTATCGTTAGCCCCTATTTCTCCCATCTCTTCATATAGCAAGGCATTATAACACCGTCAAATGCAAAATAAAAACTCCACAACTTCGCTCTGGGTTACATCACGGAAACAATAACTTTACCATAATAGATATCTTCAGAGTCCAATCACCTTGAACGATTTATGGCCGAAATAAGAACACGCACACGGACATGCACACATGGAGCATAAAAATGAGGATGGGGAATGATAGGGATTTAAGTACGACACGCAATCGACAGGACGCCGAAAACACAAGCTCGAAAGCAGCGACCAACGCAGAAGGGGGAAAATGAAACATTAACAATAACAGAAACAAAATCATTGGCGCCGGGGATAGCCATCAATATTCGGTCTAGCAGGAGAGCTCCCGCTTCTGAATCGTGGATTGTGTTGGAGATTCTCAATATTGTCTAGCGGGTTGCGGATCATCCATTTAAGATGGTCATCATCACTTGCACTTGGCATTAGGTTCTGGCTAGGGTAGGGAGGAGGGGTGCTGCCGGAGAAATTCGTACGGGTACTCTCAATACTTTGCCCGGGGTTGAACTGCCTTGCAAAGCGCCCTGATCGCATACGGGCCTCCACCACACTTATGGGTTCGTGCTCTCCGAACCGGATATACTGTGTCGCGGGGTGATGACTGAATTCCACGAAGCTGCGGGTCATCCCGTCCCCAGAGTCGACCATCATTCCCGGTCCTGAAGATGCACGGGACATCATGGCGGCGTCGAAGGAGGTTGGTGTGGTTGGGGGAGAAGTGATTGCTATTCCGCCACCTCGTCCGAACATTATTTGAGGAGAGCGGGTATCGATCCCAGGAGCTTTGGTACGAGCAAAGTTAGGAAGAGGTGAAGAACCTCTTTTCCCTGGACCTGGGGAATACTTAGGTGGTATCCTGGCTGGTTCTGTATAGAGCGATTGATCAGACTGAGCGGAAATATTTCTAGACATGGGCTGCGATGAATAGCCTCCCGGCATTTGTTGCCAGGTAGGAGCAACTTGAATCCCGTTATTATAATTTGGTGCAACCCCCGGGCCGTGTGTGTCGTGAGGTGGGATAACGAAGCTTGTGTATCGTGGCCTGGTTATGGTTATATCATTATCGTACGGAAGGGGAGGACTGCCGGTTGCTGCTAAATACTGTTGCGGAACTGGATCGTGAAGACCTAGAATGTGTCCGCTTGAACCTTCAGAAGACCTGGACGGGTGACGGGAATGGAACCGCAATGGCGGTGTCGGACCGCGATCGTTGTCTGGAGATTTCAAGGTCGATCCCATCCCTAACTCACTGAGATACGAATTGGTCAGTTTATCAGATGAGGACCTGTGCGACCAGCCACCTTGTGATGGGAAACTTCCGGGACGAATTAGAGCATGGTCCTCAGCAGGTTTATTATTTTCAGACCCCCATCCCAGTGATGGAGAGGAGTGCGTAGACGATGAAGTGGCATTCGGACGTTTTCCTGCGAGCACGTTTGCATATGTTGGGTAGTTCTCCTTCTTCGTTAATTTTGGGTTTATATTCCTTACTCCCCCACCACGACATGGAGGTGGGCTAGCATGATGCACCGCAGCAAGGGATGCCTCAGCATCGGATTTGGCCGAATCGTGATTGGGTCCAGGGATATCTTGAGGACGACTGGAAGACCCTTGACCATGAACACAGGAAACTGACACAACGGGGTCAACCGGCCTATAACTTCCCAAATTTCTTTCGCCACGAACTCTTCTTATCCCTAAACGGCGTGTCACTATGCCAAAGAGTCTACAATCCTTGGGTTTAGAAGCTTTCGCAACAACCTTCCAACCATCCTCATCTTGTTCAGTCGCAGTGGATTCAGGTACCTCCGTGGTTTGGGAAAGAATAGGAGACATCGCGGGAGCTGTCCGACTATCCTCTAGTTCAGATTCATCGCCCGGATCCTCCGCAGGAGGTAATGGTAAATGGTCAGACGAAAACTGCTGCAGCAATGGACGAGACGACAGGAATTCAATTGGCGAATGGGCATTGTCTTGGTCCACATCCATCTCCCAGGAAAATAGGGACGATGCACTGTTTGGTGTATCAGCCATGGAGGATATGCTGCTGCTTCGATCGAAGATCGACTTTTGTTGCTTGATGAATTCTTGCGATGTCTCGGGGGACCTATGTTTGATTTCCTCAGATATATCCTTCCTGACCTGAACAAGAGCGTGACTTAGAGAATTCATATCAGGGGGAAGATCTGGGTTCCCCTTGTAAGGTCGAAGTTGTTTAAAGTGGCCCAGAAGGACGCTTGCATGAGTTTCATACTCTCCAAAATCCTTCACGAGACCAGGAGAATTCTGCGTTTTGATTCTAGAGATAGCGTTGGTATATGACAAGCAAAGGAGTCTTGTCGCAACAACAAGCCACCAGGCAAAAGCCCCAACTCCCAGTCGCAAGAGTTCATCACGGAAAAACGCTTGTACAACGGTGTGTATTTTCACCACATCGATGGAGCTATTAGCAGTGAGAGATGACGTGTTTTGGCTCCCGCTTGCTTGAGAACTTTCTAGTTCTGAGAAGGGTTGGTTGTCGGACAATTCCGTGCTGCGTCGGGTAGTTGGTCCTCGTTCAACCGAGACATAAGGATCGAGTAAGCGATCGATCAAACCGTATCTGATAAGGATGGCGAAGGTGTTATCTATGTGCCTTCCATGATTCCCATCCTCCTCAAGTGAGCGAATTTCAACACCACAGTCAGCAAGAGCTTTCCTGCCTAAATAGATCATGCCAACAGGAACATCGTGCCCGAAAAATGAGAGAATCGTAATCAAGTTGACAGCTTCCAGGTGGTCATTGTTTTGTAAGTCAGCCATGATTCCCCGGTACGGTTCGGCGAGCCGTTTGTCAGTAGTTTGAGGCTTGATACGATACTTTTCTAATGACTTTCCAGTAGCACTGAGTCGATGACCTATAGCGTGGATTGCCAATGGTAAACATTCAAAATGTTCTACCAACTCCGTCGCCTTTCGCATCTGTTCTGATGTCGGTTGTTTGATGCCAAGATCCTTGAAAAGGAGATTTCGGGCGTTTTCGACTGACAGAGGTCTAACTTTGAGACCGAAAGGTTCGAACAACCTTTGCTTTTTCCTCAAGGTGCGATCGACAGAGGTATATATTATGCTTGAATTTGTGTTGTATGGAATGAACTTTTTGAACTCGTTGATTTCGTTGTCATCATCGCAGGAGAGTCCGTCGAAGATTACAAGCCAATTTTGTTTCGAGGCAAACCACCTCAGGACCTTGCCGATGTATTTGTCCCGGTCATGCCAGTCTGGATCTTGGGACTCTTTCTCTTGGGTTGCGGACAGTCTTTCAGCAATGTCCCAAAAGCATTGGCAACACGATTCCCTGGACCTGGCATCGATCCAGAAGATGCCGCCCGTATACGCCGCACGGTGATTGAAGACATACTGGCGGGCTAGATGGGACTTTCCTGATCCTGACCCACCATAAATAAGAACCGAAACCACATCCTCTGCTCGTCTTCTTACCCTAAACAGCCGATTATGCAGTTCTTCCAGTTCCTTTTCCATGCCGAAGAATACCCAGTTCGGATGAAAGCCAGGAGGTGCAACAAGGAGAGGGTCTCCATTGAGCTGGGGAGGAGGGAGCTCAGCACTGGACATCAATTGTGATTTGGTAAGTGCCAGAAACTCTGAATTCTGTCCAGCGTGTAATGAAGATAATGAATTGCCTATATACGCCACTGTTAGCAGGTTGATACAGTCGAACACATTACCGAGCGGAAGTGAAAATACAAGCACATAGATTGAGGGCAGAGATATGTTTGTGAAGGGGAAAGGGTCTTCAATTAGAGGGGCGTATCCTACCAAGAGAATCTAATCTTTCAGTGTGGAGAGATGATAGGCTTTGCCGCAGAGGGTCATCCATGATCACTGGTAAAGTTAGAATCCGAAGTAACGGCTTCAAGGGGGTTTTAATTTTCTAAGAACCCCAAAAATAGGAAGAAGGAAAATGTCACTTACGAAGCCGCTCAGCTTCATCTCTCATATTATTCCTTCGAGCCCTATGTTCTTGCACCCATCTACTTGCGATTTCAGCTG